CTGCAAGTGACATAATAAAACGAGACGTAAGTTTTAGAAAAGAAACCGTAGAGAAACGTGTTATCATGAGAAAAGTATTTAAGGGACACGTGTTCATATATGACTGGTGTTGAGCCCTATGTTTATGTTACGTTGGATTACGCTAATTTATTGCAAATGAAGACAGACACAACGAAATATTCTTGCACCTGCCATCTACCTACGCCTTACAGTTATCCCCGTTTCGCAGTCACCTTTAAAAATAACAAACAGACGCAGCATTCGATTTGAAGGCGTCTCGATGCCGTTTCGATTTATGTTCTCTCTTGATTGAGGCGACACGGCGCGTCGCTTCTTAGCGCATGCGCTCTTCTTTTGGTTATGATTGATGGTTACGGACTCTGTGTATTGGGAAAGTTTTGTAACATTTTTCGAGTCTAGTGTATTGATATTGAAACCTGTGGTTAGAGCCAGTAAAATGCAAAGCTTTTCGTGTCGTCCCTTCCATTTGTAGAAGCTATTAACAGTGCATCTACAATTCTCGGCTGTGCTGCTTTCTGCTTTTGGAGAAATTTAAAACATATCGTAAAATATTTCGTTAACTATTGAGAGTCCCCACCGCTTATATATGAACACACAATATCTATCTCTCTTCACAAAGGATCTCATGACTCACCATCATATTATGACGGCTTCGAAATAATGGCGAATAACTAATGTTTTGTAGTAGTTACATTGTTACATAGTTGTATTCTCACTTACGTAGAACTAGTAGTAAAATTTGAAACTTCGTAAACTCGTAAAACAAACTATTTTCGTTCTGGAAATAAATCAACGAAAAAGAGAAAGGGAAAAGAAAACGACAAACGAAAAAAGGGAAGGGGAAGTTGGTGTTATTTCTTACCATTTCTTCTCGCTAGGTGACTCTAGTGCAGATTTTGTTGACGCAGTTGTTCCTCTTGACTTCGAAGATGAATGTTTTCTATTGGGATAGGAACGGAAAGTTTTCTGGTAACAGCATACACCCACTACCAACGTTTTCGGCTGGTGGACTTCATTTGATTTCCTATCAATCTCTCTGCACTTTACCTTATCCTTCACACACACACACGCACGCAAACAAAAGAAATCTTTTAAGAAAGAAAGAAAGAAAGAACAAAAAGAGAACGCAAATTTTTATTTAGTGTCAGGAACGCTCCAGTTTTCCATAGAAAGGTGTGGCTGTTGAAATGTTTTCATGTGACTGATTTACCGAGTGACTGACTGGCTGTCAGAATGGCTGACAGAGTGAAAAACAGAATCACTTGCTTATTTACTGTTAACGAACTAACGAATGATGATGTACTGACTGAATAATTGGCAACTGAATTGCTGATGTAACAAATTGCTTGACAAAATGATCGAGAGTGAGGATGGTGCCAGCCATGATGCGGTACTCAAATTGCCAGGGGCGTTCACTGAGGTTTGTTAAGCTTGCTCAGAAATGGAAATATTTAAATGCAAATAGAGGGATCTTTAGGACACATTGAAAATTAGACGGCCCCATGCAGACTAGGTTTTACTGTGGATCAGTATGGCTGAATTACTTGAACAATCCAACAATTGGTGGAATACTGTCATGTAGATTTTCAACTGTATCTGTGAAACAGTTTATGGAATACATGAAAAAAAACACTTATCATCTTACGTAAACCAAGTTTTGTTAAAAGTCGGTATTGATGAAGCTGGACTTGTACCGCCACTTTTTATGTGAGTCTCCTGCTTCGAATTTCAACAATGTGTATGTAACAGTGTGTGGGGTATATGGAAGAGTTCATGAATGACCTTATGTAAACTAATCTTTACTAAAATTAGTGTGGCTGAAACTCTAAATTCTCCTACAACGCGTAATGAATATCTCCCATATAAAATTTGAAGACAGTGCCCCCAACGGTATAAACTTGTATGTCACAGACACACGGACAAGCATGACTTCCACATAAGACCTTCTTTCATTTTGTAAATGACGCCTAGTAACTGGCTGAATTACATTTCCACTGTACAAATGCCAATCATATCGACATATTGACTGAATAACTAAATAAATGTATTGGCAGAGTCGTTGAGTGCCAGATTAACTGACCGGCTAGATGAGTAAATGCCTGGATGTCTAATTTAAATGCTGACTGATAGTTAAATATCAGAAATTCGTAAATTTTACAAATTTTAACCATTTAGAAAGGGGGTTAAGGCGTATGATTTATGTTCCACATGTACATATTAACTCAAACTCAGGTGTACGCAAGACTGTAAGAGGAGATGATAAGATAACATTAAGATTATTCTTGGAGAACATGTTCTAAGCAAAGTAGATGGATGTAAGTGGCTGAAGATCGTGTCCAGTGGCGATAACATATATACGTTGCAACTTGCCGTCCTTCAGTTCTTTTGTCGATGATAATATCTCTTTAAATATGCATCATATAAAAGTTTGTAATAAAATCATCAGCTCTTAATAATATCTATATTTTGTATCTTACAGAAATTGTTCTTATGCTGAACATTGTTTAGATAACATTAATAAGAATCAATTTGTGTAAATGTGAAAGAGGGTTTATTGAGAGCCGATACTGACCGAAATTAAATTCACTTAACGATGTACATCCGTGATGTAAAATTTGAGGCCCGCCGTTTGCCTCAAACAGATGGCTCTGATACGTAAATGTATATGGATAGATGCATGTTTTCAACGTTCCTGAATTCAGATGTTTGCCCTATACAATGGCATACAAAAAAAAAAAAACTCCGTGATTTTAGTCCGCAAGCGAACTATACCGACCGAGCGACTGCCGCTTGTCGGCGAAGTTTAGTGCCAACTTTTGCGGATAGAGGGTGACCCCGTTCCAGACTGGTAGCACCGGGAATCGAACCCGGACCTCTGGATCTATAGTCATGAACGCTGACCACTAGACCACAGAGGCGGTCAATAGCGGCATACATATTCTCTATAACTCCGTGGCCTTAGTTCGCAAGCGAACTATACCGAACGAGCGACCGCCGCTTGTCGGCGAAGTTAGTGCCAACTTTTGAGGATAGAGGATGTCGCGTGGTCAGCGCAACGGTTCCCCACGGCCGTTAATTTCAATTTTCTAGACCTGAGCCGCTATTTCCTTGAAATAGCTCCTCAATTATCCCCACGAGGCTGAGTGGACCCCGTTCCGGGCCCGGGACCTCGCGGATCTTTAGCCAGGAACTCTGACCGCCAGACCACAGAGACGGTCTACATATTTTCGGACGTTTCTAGTTGTATCTCTGCACAAGTTTTCCTGCCCAAAGAACCTCAGATGCATGTAACAGCACTGTGGCTGGTCCTTGTGTGCTTTACCCACCGGTCTCAACCAGCAACTGCAACTTAGGGACTAGAGCAATTAAAATTAAATTGTTTTATTGAACTTCTACAGACATAGAAAAGGACCATTTTGGGTATGTGAGAATTCCGACTATCGGTGCTTCAAATAAAGAGAATTACCGCCTCTTTCGATCATAGTACCGAAAGAGGCAGTGGCTCTCTTCATTTGAATATTTTGCATGAGGTATTTCTGTTTTTATTGCGAACCAAAGGAGCATTTAAATGATTTAATTTATCGGTCTTAGCTCTTGCTGTATCAAGACGATCTCAAGGGAAGTATTGTTTAGTTGGGATTGCACGTAGCATAATAAGAGTTATAGCTACATAATCTGTAAGTGTGACAAAAAATATAAACTCGAGACGACATATTGAAACCAGACATTCATGTTTCAACCAAAATTGTACTGCAGAAAAACAAAATTTTGGTTTCTCTAATTTGGGCACTGAAAGTCTAACAAAATATGTTTGAAAAATATTCTGATTCTTTTTCAGAAGAAGCAATTACAGTGAGTTTTGATATATTCTGCATAATTGTCAAGTATCGTAACCTTTTTCTGAGGGTGGTTTTGTAAGAACTTGTTTATTTCTTGTACCACAAAAGCGCCTTTGCACAAATTGCGTCAAGATACACGAAACCCTCAGTTTAAATCGAATGAAGGTGTAAAATCCGGTAGCTGATATTTTGAATTATGCTAATACTCAATTTTCTGAGATATTCAACAAGCGTGTTTATTACTCACTGGCGGTTAAATGTCGCTGGATAAAGGAACACCACCTTAACTTTGCAAACATGGCGTAACACCTTGTTTTTAAGTGTTTGAAGACCTCCGTTGAGTGGTTAGATTTAATTCAAGCATTATTATGTAGATTTTAGAAGCATAAAATGGCATTACATAAGCTTGTCACCACAGCACACCGACGTTTCGGAAGGAAGAATAAGCAAACCAAGAAACCAGCATGAAAGTAGGTGGCAAGCCACCTTGAAGACGGAAGCGATATGTTCCTCCGGAACGTCGATTGACTTTCAACGGACTACACGGTGTTATGAAGAAAGCAGTCTTCTGGGATTTGGCACCGTGTATAAGTGGTGTTAACCGACGTTTCGGAGGAACGTATCGCCTCCATCTTCAGGGTAGAAGAAAAAGTATAAGAAATCTGCAAGCGACAAGACCGTGAGAACGGTAAAAGCNTTGAATAAAAGATTGTCCGCAATAAGTTACGTAATTCTAGAATGCTGTACCACACAGGAATCTGAGCTGTGTATACGGTGGGATCATAAGCTGTAGTGGCGCGTGGACATTTGCATGCACGTAATAACGGTCGTGCAAGGCCACACAGAAACCACCTGGTTCATAAAGTCACAATTTATTTCAAGATCGCCTTTCGCAGAGCCCAATTTTCTGCTGATTTAATTACAGTCATCATTCCACGGAGAATACCGACGTTCACCTCCAGGCGATACGTTCCTCCGAAACGTCTGTTCACACAAGATATACTTATATGTTCCTAGGAATTTTTTAACAAACAAATGGATTTTCATTAAACTTGACACGAATATCATGCCCCTGCAGTCACTTTTCTATGTTTAAATTGATTACTATCAATACTAGATAGAAATAGTAGAGAACAGTTTCAAATTCGTTGATTGCAGGCAAATTCTTTATCATTTTTTGACAATATTACCATAGGCATGACATATTACATTTAATTAATTACATATATTTCAGTTTTTGATTACAGACTAGCATTTTTCCTTTGCAGAAATATAATTTCATCATTGTTTCTTTTATACGCGCTTGTCCATTCTTTGCATGCAGTGCGAAAGCATTTCCGGTCTCTTCTATGGGTATGTTAGGCGCACAGAGCACGGTAGGCCGTGTCCTGTTGCTCGCACCCCGTGCCTGCTGCTCCCACCTGGTACAAGGCAGCCCCCAACCTGTTACCTGCAGGCCCGTAGTTGCACACGAAGTGCTTGGTATACCAGCCATCCTGGCCCGGGTCGAGGAAAGACACGAAGCCGCAACCCACATGATGGGTGTCAGCCCACAAGAGCGCGGTGTAGTGACCGGTGTCCGGTGAGAAACTAGGAACACAGAACAGAGGACTGTTACAGGATGCGTTCGGCTGTGGGCAGGGCCGGCACTGAAACGGAGGCGTGCTCTCTGGCCTCCTGGGGCGGATAGATTTGAAAACTTCTCTTTCTTTTAGAGTTTTGATAAACGAAAATTAATTGTTGTTTATTTTTGTTCATGTCGTAACCATTAATGGCAGCGGTCCGAATGTCATGTAACAATTTAAAAAGAAAAATTCTGAGAAGTGTGACATTAATGGAGGTATTCTTCACAGTGTCTGGAAATTTCATGTCATTGCTTGTGGCGAGACCGCCTCGGTGGTCTAGAGGTTAGAGTTCCTGGCAGCCGATGCAGAGGTCCCGGGTTTCTATTCCCGGCGCTACAAGATTTTCTAAGAAGTAGTGGATCTGGAACGGGGTCCACTCAGCCTCATGAGGATAATTGAGGAGCTACTTGAATGGAAAAGTAGCGGCTCCGGTCTAGAAAACCGAAATTAACGGCCGTGGGAACAGTTCGCTTGCGGACTAAAGGCCACGGAATAGTTTAATTGTGACGATGTTTTGAGTAAGTTGATTTGTTATTAACCCATGGAGGGTGGGGGAAGATGCAATTTCTAGTCATGTGTATCGACATTTTGATTTTAATCGGCCCAGCTTCCCACCGAAATATTTGATGTAGGTTGCTGGTACACTGATACTTAAAAGAGTTACCGCATCAATGGGAGGCCATGTATGTCAATCAGTATGAATGTTTCATCTCAGTTGTCAGTGCTTGTATGAAATTTTGTATCTGGGAATCCACACTAAAACTGTTTGGGAATTTTATTTTGACCCATATAAATTGTTTTATAATTTCTAACGAAGAAACCAACATAGCGTATAATTTCAAATGGAAAGTTCTTTACTGAAGATTGAATTGAGAATAATGTAGAAGGATGCAGTCGTAGCATGATTTCTTGCGCTGTCAAGTCATCTACCTGGAGTGACTGAGGAAAGCTACGAAGAACTGGAGTCAGAACAATAGATATTCTGTCCTAGGTTCGAGCCAGACATTCCCAAAATACAAGTCAGTAGCTTTACCTTTTGAGGTAAATTTTTGGTAATTATATTCCAATTGGACCAATATAATCCTAACTTTCATGTATATTAAAATCCTGAAAAAGTTCTCCGAGAACATCTTTGAAGAATTTAGTGCCTGGAGTAATGTACCGATCTCAATAATAAGCATACCTAAAATACGCACGTAAAAAAATCTTCAGTGTCTTCACTATTTAATGAAATAGAGATGTCTTACCTAAACTATACAGTGCATTTCTGGTCAGTTTATTATTGAATGCGCTACAATAGATTTGTATTTGCAACCTAGAAACGTATGGATCCTTTCACTTATGTTAGTCTCGTTTGTTAAGGATAAAATATTTGATAATCACCGGATTGTTGATAAATTTATTTCTGGGTTATTAAAAACCTCTTTTCAAATTCTTTGCTTACATGCCCTTATTACATCGAAGGTTTAGAAGGCCGTGCAAAGAGAACTTGAGGAAATATAATGGGAGTTACCGTTGCAGCATTTACTGTCAACAGACAACGCAAACTGCGAACGATGCCCATCAGAATAGCTGATCTCCGGGCAAGAAGTCAACCCTGGACTTCTTGAATAGAAAACAAAATATTCAAATTTCGATAATGACGTTGACTTTTTAAGCCACTGAAGCAAGAACGTAGGACATAAATTGATGCATAATTTCATTTTGAAGTGTCAATATTTTGTCGCATTTCGTGTTACATGAATTATCGGCATCAAAGATTCGTATATTTCTTTCATATTTCTTAAGCGAACCGATAGCTTCTGTGACGTGACAAACACAAACAGCAGATGCTCTTTCCCACGCATAAAAGAAGATGGCTGATATTTGGCTGCACGGTAGCGCCGATGCGACCAATCAGTGTCAGCCATGCTTCGCTGTCGATATCACCCGTTCTCGAAAACAGTCCAAATGTCAGATCAGAATTTGAAGGGGTTTCAATTATTTAAAGAAGATGCAGATAACGAATTAACAGACTGCACTGTCGAGTCACGTGGTGCCGGACTGCAGACAATGTATCGAACTTCTGGCGAAGGAAAATCAAGAATACATATATAATCGGTAGTAACAAGAAAAGTAACAACAGTAAAATAATGATTGATAATTTATGTTTTATTTTGGATTTTCCGAGGCCACCGAATCTTAGAAATAATTTTCTGGAATCGAATGTTTTTGGAAGCGCATCGAGGAACTCTCAGTTTACAGAAGAATAAAGTGGAAATAATTGAAATCTTAAAGAAACATACAGGCCACTGGAAGTAGTTTAACTCACAATCCCCGCTGTGTTTCGGAATAGAACCGAGAAGTGATGAAACTAATAATATTACTTGTTGCATAGTGTCACTACAAATAAAATACAGTTTAAGCAGTTGTAATATCATAACATCCTTCTGCCCTCTTCCGAGACTCAAAATATCATTCAGCCACCTTTTGGATGATACATCCTTAGAAATCTTTAGAAACTAGAAGACTCACTGGAAAGGTTTTATGTGCCGAGGATCGAATTTGGCGACCTCGTCGTACCAGGCCGTCACTGCCCGTGTCCATGCAGTGCGTTGTGACTCCAAGGTCTCGTTCGTAAGCAGTTTGCCGTTTCGGTACTTGGAACTCCAGCAGAATAAGTTCTGCCCCACCACGAATCTGTCTAAAACACAAGAAGTTCTTTAGGATGTTATTGTGCGTTGCTTACTTAAGCTTATACTCTCAAGTGAGCCATCATTAAGGTAGAGACCTAACACCTTCATGGTGATTTCTTGCTGGTCAACAGTAAAAATGCTGGCCTGCACAGCACTCAGTTCATCCGGACTCCGTGCTCTGCTAGACGGTCCTCAGTATTATACATATTAATTGATCGATTTTTGTGGAACTCGTCGTGGAAACAATGCCATCGGAAACCTCTCAATCTCATTTTTCTTAACTTACGGTCATCAGTGATATCAATATGGCCTCTGTGAGGATGTGTTTGTGGGAATATGTGTGCAGCTATACGTCTGTACTGAGTCTTTTATGATAGTAGATTTTTGGAATATGACTTTTATAGCCTGTATTAAGGTATAGAAGCTATCCCTGTAACAGGCCGTGGATGCCCATAGGGTTGTGAGACGTCGAGGCTCCAACATTTTCTAGACAATCTGCTCTCAGATGGAGATGAAGGTGTCAGATTTAAGCGCCGGCCGCGCTTTACTCCCCAGGAAAATTAATTAATTCCTGGTACTCATTTCTGTTAGAGGCTGAGTCGACCCCAGAATCAGAGTGCGGCTAGAAGGATTAGGTCAATTGAACAATCCAATGACCTCATCGGGAATAGAATCTGCGGCCTTCCGGCTTGTAGCATAGTGCCTCAACCAACTACGCTACCGCGTGCCCCTTATTAAGGTATAATATTTAGAAAAACTTCAAGTATTAGGTCCACTCGAAATCTTATTGTTGGATGAAAACGGAATAATTAACCTAAGAGCATTAAATTTATTTAAATGTAAATTCGCCTGATATTAGTCAATGCTGGTACTTAAACTACTTACATTGTAACCAGCGAAATTCCGGGTCAGACACGAAGCCCCATACTTACATACCCAGGATGTAATAACGCCCTGCCCGGTCAGGGCTCTCGAATACCCCAGGGGCTAGTAACAATTAAGTATTCAGCAGTAGTGGAGTGCTGATGAGGTGGAGAAAAGCAAAACAATTTGCACAAAACCCTGCTCCAGTACCACGTCTACTACGACGAATTTCACACGAAGCCATTCGCTGTTAATCAGAGGCCCTGCGGTGAGAAGCAAACATCTAATAGCGTGAGCTATTGGTGTTAGTGAGTTTTATAGCTCCAATATTCTCATCATCTCAAATACCATGACATGTCATGCCAACAGCGGGTTCTGGCAGCCTAATGCACGTACGCATTTTTCTCGTATTTTCCATAACCATAAAGTATTTACTGAAGCTGCAACTTTAATTTTACCACTTGTTTTGTACCACCTTGTTATGTTTCAGTTCGAAAATTTGTTCTTTGTTTCTCTAAGATTCTTTTAATATTCTCACGTATTCCCGTTTAGTGTGACTAATAATAATGGGTTCAGGATTAGATAAATAGATTTATTGGACGCTCACAAGTCGTAACTAAAAATAATTATAACTCTCTAAAGGTTACTGTAACTATAACACGAAGTGAAGTCTTTAACGTCTGCTTGCTAGCCGTTGCTTGGTAATGGATCTTATCGGATTAACACTTCACAGCTGAATACTCAACTATTGAACTGCCTTCCGAATTCTCTTACAAATGAATCTATAACTGAATTGAATTCACGAATGAACACACTTTTAGAACTGCGAGAGAGTGGAACAGAGATCACCGCCTCCAATGGTTCCATTACTACACTTCATTAACGTGTTGTCTCAGAAACCGTGTGCTAACTCTGAAACAAAGGTTTGGTTTCTGATTGTTTAAAACTTGTAGTTTCCCTGCCCACGGAAACAGTGTTACGTAACCAGTTGGTTCCCAAGAATCGAGCTCTCCGTCGCAACGTGTTCGCCCATTCGTTTCTTAGAAACGACCCACGTGTCACAATATATAACAAGCTTATTTCCTCCTTTGAGATTTTGAATGAAAGATTCTTAAAATATTTTAGTCTCTCCAATACGCAATAGATGCCGCTCTTTAAGACCTAAAACTTACCAACATCCCTACAAGAATCGTGCTCGAAGATGCATTGGTTGGACCACCGTTGTGCCACAGCTGCCAGCTCGTCATCCCAAGTCTGAAATATAATGGTTATACAGAGTCGAATGACACGATGTCTACAAATGAAGAAATTGAAGAAACGGAGAACGAACCAACGATGACCTGGTCTAAACTTGCGCAGGAACTCAGGATTTAAGCGGAAGAAATATGAAAAGATAAGAACATTGTGTAACAATCCTTGCTCGTTCACTTCCACCTATTTACCTCTCTCGATAACGGTTAAGACACTCGGAAACATAGTGTGCATAAAGTGTTTCATTTTTATATGCATTTTTTTTTCAAGTCATTTGTCGTTCCGATAGACATTTAGCGAATCACAAGTACAATAGAGATGCACGCAAAATATGTGTAGGTTTACATACAGACTGTTCGTTATTACTGTCCGTTTTTAACCATAACTGGAATGTATCGGCGAATTATACCAAAACTCCCTTGCATGTTACATGCAGGTGGACGGAGAGACAGATATGAAGAAGTGCATTTTTGCAACTTTAAGCTGCGATAGCACTAAAGATGCAGGCAGCTTATGGCCTTGCCAAGACAGAAGCCCTCCCCGGATTAGGCAGCAGTAGCGCTTTGAGTGTCGCCGTAAGGCAGTGTGGTGTGGTTAGGATATTGTTGTGTGGTGAATTGTGCTGTGGTGTGATGTAGTGTAACACAGGCGTGCTGCACTCTGTTGGAATGTAGTATAGTGTGCGGAAGTTAAGTCTGTTGGAATGTAGCATAGTTTGCGGAAGTTAGTTTGTTGAAATGTGGCATAGTTTGCGGGAGTTAATCTGTTGGAATGGCATAGTTCGCGGAAGTTAGTCTGTTGGAATGGCATAGTTCGCGGAAGTTAGTCTGTTGGAATGGCATAGTTTCCGTAAGTTAGTCTAATGAGTTTGCGGAAGTTAGTCTGTTGGAATGGCATAGTTCGCGGAAGTTAGTTTGTTGAAATGTGGCATAGTTTGCGGGAGTTAATCTGTTGGAATGCGGCATAGTTCGCGGAAGTTAGTCTGTTGGAATGTGATAGTTTGCGGGAGTTAATCTGTTGGAATGGCATAGTTCGCGGAAGTTAGTCTGTTGGAATGGCATAGTTCGCGGAAGTTAGTCTGTTGGAATGGCATAGTTTCCGTAAGTTAGTCTAATGAGTTTGCGGAAGTTAGTCTGTTGGAATGGCATAGTTCGCGGAAGTTAGTTTGTTGAAATGTGGCATAGTTTGCGGGAGTTAATCTGTTGGAATGCGGCATAGTTCGCGGAAGTTAGTCTGTTGGAATGTGATAGTTTGCGGGAGTTAATCTGTTGGAATGGCATAGTTCGCGGAAGTTAGTCTGTTGGAATGGCATAGTTCGCGGAAGTTAGTCTGTTGGAATGGCATAGTTTCCGTAAGTTAGTCTAATGAGTTTGCGGAAGTTAGTCTGTTGGAATGGCATAGTTCGCGGAAGTTAGTTTGTTGAAATGTGGCATAGTTTGCGGGAGTTAATCTGTTGGAATGCGGCATAGTTCGCGGAAGTTAGTCTGTTGGAATGTGATAGTTTGCGGGAGTTAATCTGTTGGAATGGCATAGTTCGCGGAAGTTAGTCTGTTGGAATGGCATAGTTCGCGGAAGTTAGTCTGTTGGAATGGCATAGTTTCCGTAAGTTAGTCTAATGAGTTTGCGGAAGTTAGTCTGTTGGAATGGCATAGTTCGCGGAAGTTAGTTTGTTGAAATGTGGCATAGTTTGCGGGAGTTAATCTGTTGGAATGCGGCATAGTTCGCGGAAGTTAGTCTGTTGGAATGTGATAGTTTGCGGAAGTTAGTCTGTTGGAATGGCATAGTTCGCGGAAGTTAGTCTGTTGGAATGTGGCATAGTTTCCGGAAGTTAGTCTAATGAGTTTGCGGAAGTTAGTCTGTTGGAATGTAGCATAGTTTGCGGAAGTTAGTTTGTTGAAATGTGGCATAGTTTGCGGGAGTTAATCTGCTGGAATGCGGCATAGTTTGCGGAAGTTAGTCTGTTGGAATGTGGCATAGTTTGGGGAAGTACAATGTGTACTGCAATAGCACTGTGCCTCCCACGTTGTATAATTCATGAGAATCACACATATCAGATTTATGGGGATTCAGAGGCATTTCACCATAGGATAACAAGTCTGCCCTTACTAGACTAATTTTATTGGGAAGTGACTCTTCTCAAAAGTACCTAGTCAAGGTTCCTGATTTCATTCTTGGTATATTATATTATGCTCAATTATTAGAAGTACTCATACATATATGTATATAATGATCAGCAATTGAAATTCCTTACTTTTACATAACTCTCAAGCATTCACAGGTTTCCACCATATTGCCTGCACCATCTCAAACCAGTTCACATATTCCCACTATATACTTCTGTGATTCATATTGATATTATTCTCACATCTGCGCCTAGGTCTCTCCCTTGTGGTTTTCCGATGAAATTTCTATGAATATCTCTTTCTGTGCACGTGCTACGATTTCTAAGGATCACATTTTCCTTGATTCTGTCACCCTAGCAGGAACTGATTAGGCGAAGAGTAAGCCTATATTATGAACAACCTCGTTGTGTTTACGCCCATTTTGATATTACTACCTCCTACTTTTAGGTCAACATCTTATCGCAACGTCTTGAATAGTAACAGCATCAAGCACGTGGACGGGCATACGAATGTCATAAACCTTAACTATTTTGAGCTCACTCTTTTCGCAGATAATTAAAGGTATTTATAGAAAATTTAGGACAAGACTACAGGAACTATGTACGAAAATTTTTAATGTTGATGATGAAGTAGGAAAGTAATATATCTCTCAGCTTGTGAGTTATGTTGGAAAATAGGCAGACACAATCACAGATATCTAACGAAAATAGAAGAAATGACCACAGGAACTGATGTGTAAATATGAACGTGTGAAAGGGAAAAAGCTGAAGAGTTACAGGTGCAGTGTCTCTCAGCATATATTAGGTATTAAAATTAAATAGGGCTCTACCCTAGAGAGAACGAGAGACATGATAACAATGAAGAGGGCCCAAAAGGGTAAGACAAAACTGAGAATGACGTATATGGAACAACATAATGAACTGAAGGAGGACGAAAAAGAATACAAATCCCGGGAAACGTGGAGATCACTAAACCATTAGCTGGGGTATGCTCGACTAAGCAAGTAAATGGTTAGCATAAAGACTTTGTCTTACCATTTTCTTCAGGTTGGCTGCAGGGGGCTGAGGACCAGGGGCGCCCCGCGTCTCTTGTCCCAGCGCTACGACGTTTCTGAGTTTATTGTGTTGTTCCACTATGTGCGCCTTTATTGCGTCGTCATGTATAGAGTAGACGACTTCCTGATAGCACCGGAGGCCTGTCTCCTGCAAATTTTATATTTGCCTTCCAGTCGAATTTACTGAACTGTTTATTCCCTGTTATCAGGGTTCTAAAATGTTGCATGAAAATGGATTTGCGAAAATAAGAAAAATGATTTGATGTAGAATAATAGCCTATGTAAACTGAATTATTTTAATCCTTTAAATACTGGGTATTATAACAAGAGTAGACTTGTGAAACGTGCTTATGTCTGCTCAGATTTCTATTTGATGGAAATAAGTAATGAAGTATGAGGAATTTATATGCAGATAAATCATAAAAATATTCATAAATTGTACATGAAACATTTGTTCATTCGTTAACAAGAAAGAACGTGGCGACAGTGAGAAACTCTGAGATAATATCTAACAAATTAAACTTAGTGGAATTAGAGATTCGAGCACTTAGAACAATGGGATTCTACACTGATGGGATTATAGATTCGAGCACTTAGAACAATGGGATTCTACACTGGTGGGATTAAAGATTCGAGCGCTTAGAACAATTGGATTCTACACTAATTGGATTAGAGATTCGAGCACTTAGAACAATTGGATTCTACACTGGTTGGATTAGAGATTCGAGCGCTTAGAACAATTGGATTCTACACTAATTGGATTAGAGATTCGAGCACTTAGAACAATAGGATTATACACTAGTGGGATTAGAGATTCGAGCACTTAGAACAATTGGATTCTACACTGGTTGGATTAGAGATTCGAGCACTTAGAACAATTGGATTCTACACTGGTGGGATTAGAGATTCGAGCACTTAGAACAATGGGATTCTACACTGGTGGGATTAGAGATCCGAGCGCTTAGAACAATTGGATTCTACACTAATGGGATTAGAGATTCGAGCACTTAGAACAGTGGGATTCTACACTGGTGGGATTAGAGATTCGAGGGCTTGGAACCATAATGCATAATAAGGTTTTCCATGAGTATAGTCTTCAACGATTACATGCAAATGGCAATTACCGGGTAGATACACATTGTGTGATTCTTGCAGATATCACAGTAGCCCTTAGCTTGAATTTGCACAAACACCATGATTATGATGACTGTGACACTAGTAGCTTTCATCTCCGGCAATCCTACTCAAGGCACAGTCGGTCTTATTCCTGGAAAATTAAATTATTCTCATGTTTCAAATCCGAAAGAGTTGGACGAATGCTGAGTATATACAGCAAAACTGTCCTGTTAATTTGACCCGAGTCCGTATTGTATAGCCCTTAAGAAGATGGAATGGAAGGGATCTAGAAAACTGCTGGCGCATCGTGACACGTGGTAAATTAAAAATGATTTTATTTAACTTGTTATACTATATGACTTCTAATGCAACTTCTCAAAACTAACTTCTTCCAAAGTACCTAAAAGTAGCTCAGTTGGTCAAAAAATTCCCACCCGCGTCCACATGAGCTGACCATTAATCCATGTTCTATTCCAGATGAAACTAATCCAGTTTTCATATCCTATTTCTTCAACATTAATGTTAATATTACAACTTTATTGTGTCCTGGAGCGGTAATTTTCAGTAACCACTTACGACCTTGAGGCCATTTTGTTTTTGGTCACTACTATATCCACATACGCGACTTCACTGTTATCTATTATCGCTGCCACATGTATTGAACTGAATTCTTGTCTAGTAGTGCACACTGTTACTGTACGCCGCTTATGGATCACAGTGAGACTCAACTGAACTGCACAGGTTCACATAGCTCGGCCGATTTCCTCAAATAACTCGCGAATTCAACAACACCATTTCTCAGGCGTGGTCATTGTGTTAACTTTTGGTTTACAGTGCGGGCTGGGTGGTTCAAGGACAATCTGGAAGTCTGGAAGTATCTAGAAGGAAAGGCGCATGCACATGCTCCCACCTTCCCTCTTCTGTGTCTACTTCTCCCACTTGGTTTCTATCATTAAAGATTTCTATTAAATTAATTATATAAACTTATTTTTAATACCGCCTTACGTGCTGTTTCAAAGATTCCAAAAATGGAAATGAAGAGTCCAATTATGAAGCTTTGCAGTTTGTAGTAGTTTTCTCCGTCTTCTTGTTACTTCCTTGCTCTTAGATCTAAATATTCTTCTCAAAAAATTGTTCTCAATACCTTCAATCTGTGACCTTCTTCAGAGTGACAGACCGAGTTTCATGTACTACAAATCAGAAAGTAAGTACTCCTAATATTTTCATAATTGGCAGACAGAAGTGCAGGAACTTTGACGCAAGTTATAGTACAATTGAAAGCAGTACGTATATTTTATATATGTTTTTATAAAATTGAGAGTCTGGCCGATGGCAGTGGCCATGTTTCCGGTTTGACTACTAGTGAGACGCTATTTCACTAAAATAGTAGAAATACTTGTATGTAGAGTATACAGGATGTAAATAAATATATGTTACAACGCTCTATGGTAGATAAATGGGTTCAATGTGATCAAACAAAGAACAAAACAAATTCCGTGCTTTTAGTCCGTAAGCGAATTATACCGACCGAGCTCCCGCCGCTTGTCGGCAAAGTTAGTGCCAACTTTAGCGGATAGAAGGTGTCGCGCTGTCAGCGCAACGAATCCCTACTGCCGTTAATTTCGGTTTTCGAGACCGGAGCCGCTATTCCCTTGAAACAGCTCCTCAATTATCCTCACGAGGCTGAGTGGACCCCGTTCCAGACCCACTACTTTCAGAAAACCTGGTGGCGCCGGGAATCGAACCCGGGACATCTGGATTTGTAGGCAAGAACTCTTGACTACTAGACCACATAGGCGGTCACTAGAGAGTAAAAAATGCGCTGTTATGTTTGCGTCGTTCCTGTTTATAACATTCTGGCCACTAGACCACAGAGGAAGTATTTAGATAACCAGAGAAAGTGAAAGTGTTCACATGACTTAACCACGCTGTAATTTTTCGTTGTTTGCGACAGTAATTGACTCACTGTCGGTAGCTATTTGTGGTTTCGATGTCAGATCTTTCTTGTCCACACATATTTCACCGTGTACCAACGTAGTGTCCTCTCTCGTTCCTCTTGGATTGAATTAACTTGCGATCCATCGCATACATTACGAGTATTTCATGTCTCCTACAGTAACCGTTCGAGCTGATGATACTCTCGAGAAATTCATGTTTTTTTTTTTTATAGGCGAAGTCATGCCAGGAGCTTCTCATGAGTTCTCTGTGGTCTTTGTCAGTCCGCTTGAGCTGGACAGCTCTTGAAGAATCTAAGAGCAGCCGGGTGAGGAGGGGGTGGATTCCCGATGTGACGAGAAAGATGCGCAGACACTCTGCCCGCACTCAGTTCACGCGAAAATGCATATATTGTGATGGTGCTGCTGTGACATCTCCGTTCGGAACGGACTTTACTGTTCCAACTTGGAAAACACTAAATTTGCTGATTAGGCCTAGAACAACATTTACGTGTATATCCACATGACGATTGGTTTCTGAATTTGATGTGCACAACATCTTTCTTTCGCTTACTTTTAAAATATCTTGTGAAATTAATTTATTATTAGGTCCTATGCTACCGATCTGACCATATATTTTTCGAAAGTTTATTGTTATTTTATAAATTTCCGGGTTTTCTTTGGTGTACAATATCTTCGGCCAATGGAATCAAATCCAAACATGTTTCTGCGTATTCCTGTCTGTGAATATCATACTACAATACACTGATCCCCCGCCAAAGGACACCTATTGAATGTCCAAGAATGAAATACCTTATCTTTAATCTGTAGAAGATAATTAATAAAACAGTAAAAACCTTTAATCGTTATTATTTAAGAGAAAATAATCTTTTCTTAGTTTATTATGGATCATACATTTGTAATTACAAATGAGTCCCAATTGGCTAATGGCCGTGGTTATCACACCTTTGCCTGTGCAATTATATATTTAATGATAGTTTGTAAACAGAGCGGCTGCCGCAGAGTTCAGCGGAGTATTGAATGTGAACGCTGAGTATGGAGAAACTGGATCGACATAGTCTTCACTTATTTTAATGCAATTTTTCGACATATGAAACTACTGGAATCCGAAGCCTGAACCTCGAAATACGAAACGTCCGTTCTGGCCACTGCAACGTGATGGTCAGTATGGTTACCGTGGGTGGCTACAATCTCCTACATATCTGCTTGTTGGCGCTCCAGTGCTTTAATCTGGCTTGATGTCACGATGACGTCATCAACTGTTTGCACGTGTGGGATGTAATAACTTTGGGAATTTACAGTTGTTCACTAACTTGTGGGAGTATGCGTCAGCTTCTAAAAAGTATTCGGTGTTAACATCTAATAAACATCACAAATGTTCCTTGACACAATCTTTGTGCAGTCTAATCTACGTATGAAGGACGTCCAACACTTCGCAGTTATCCTTTTCATTTTCGTAAATTGTATGTATTTGACGACAGCCTCTGTGGTCTACCGGTCAGAGTTCCTGACTAGAGATCCAGAGGTCCCGGGTTCGATTCCTGGCGCTACCATATTTTGTGAGAAGTAGTGTGTTTGACACGGGGTCAACTCAGCCTCGTGAGGATAACTGAGGAGAAATTTCACGGAAATAACGGCTCCGGTCTAGAAAACCGAGATTAACGACCGTGGGGATCCGTTGCGCTGACCACTTGACACCCACTATCCACAAAAGTTGGCACTAACTTCACCAACAAGCGGCAGTCACTCGGTCTTTATAGTTCGCTTGCGGACTACAGGCCACGGAGTATGTATTTTACAGAATACGAGACAAGCTTTAACTGTATGATGTCCGTTTATTTAGCCTATTGAGTCTGTCTTGTCCATAGTTTTCTTGTTTCTTTTCCCCCAAAGGGGCAGTAGTAGGTACACGAAACAACACGCACACTCGAATACAGAGAAGTTCTCCTTTCGTGAATCCAACCACGACAAAACTTTCTATTCTTGAATGTGACCCCGGAAATCTTTTGTTCATTAATGCGAATCGTTCTTTTTCTTTAAAGATTGAAGGTTTTCACGATGATGAATATTCAGATTGTTGTCTTTCAGTTTGACCCTGAAGATGGAGGCAACAAAAGAGTGGAAGGTGGTCGGTATCGGCCTACAAGACTACACGGTGTCAAAACTAAGAGGATCATAGTCTGAAGACCATTTTAGCCTCATTGGCAACCACATCTTTTTTTCGTTCACGGTGCTGCTACAGTAAACGGTTTTCCTCATGACTTTTATTTCGACAAACATATACATGTGAACCAGCCGTGAACATATTTAACATAATCTGCCTATATAAGATTATAGACCCAAATCGAAAGGAATGCAACTGAAACTCATTCTTCTTGAATCAGAACAATGAACGAGTTACTTGAAATTTGGAAGTGATGTCCGCTCATTTCATATATTCCCAATTTACTGTGAGACCACGTTTTTTATGTGAGCTGGTACAGCAACGGGCTACGCGCTGGGCGGCCGGGGTTCAATTTCCGGCAGGGCAAGGAATTTTCTCCTGTACTTGGCGTCCAGAAGAGCTCTAGGACCCACCGAACCTTCTGTTCAATGGGCATCGGGGCCTGTTCCCCGGGGGTAAAACGGTCGGGACATGAAGCTAACAACTCGCCTCCATCTAGTGCCGAGGTCAAGAATGGCGGAGCTGTACTTTCATACCCACATACGTCCTCATGATGTGGTGATTAATTAATTGAACACAGAGAAGTCAGTTTTATGTTTCACTTACACAGTAATTGTGTATACTCTAATATTGCTATGGGACGTAAAGCAAAAGGAATATGGCGGTTGGGGTTTTCAGGAATCATATCTGTACATTTTTTGGCTAGAAACCTTTAATGGGGAAGCTGAGTTTTGTCCTTAGGTGTGTAAGTTTGATAATAGCATTAAAATTGATTTTATAGAATTAGTTTTATAAGACGTGAACATGATTGAACTGACTCAGAACAGATTCCAATGGGCTGATATAAGACAAGATAGGATTGAAAAGTTACTGGTTGGCAAGCTGAAGGAAAGGGACCACTGAACAAGACTAGGCATAATTGCAAGAATGCAATGGAAAAGTAAGTAGAGTAAATTATTGTGAAGATGAATTGGTGCAGGGTATAGTTCAGTAGCGCAATTTGGGAACACGATAAACTTTCGCGGTCTGTGAGAGCAGGCAATATCCTTAAGAACTAAAGATTATAATGTATTGAGGGAATTCTCTTAACCTGTATGTTTCAGTTATTTTACCTTCATTTAACCACACGACTTTGATCACTTATCATTCCTTGAGCCTTATGAGGTCTCATTTTTTACTAGATCTGCAACTTCAAGGCTTACCCTCACGTTGTTCCTATGTTTCGCCTGAAATTGTAATGGTTTACTAATACGTATTTTTGTAGTACTGCAGAAAGACAAAGCTCTTACCTGGATTCCTAAGTAAAAAATTTGCACACGTCTGTTAACTGTGATCGTCCTCTCAAACTTTTCCCTTAAATAGCTGAAGTC